GTCCAGCAGACACTGGCTCCCGCCACCTCGCCATGCAGAGCTCACACCAGGACCCTGCCTGCCAAGGCCCCCCCGGGCTGCCTTGCTGACTGCCTGTGCCAGGCACCGTTCCTGCCCCGCGGCTGCTGAGCCTGGCAGGTCCCCGGAGGCAGGTGGGACACCAAGGGCAAGGGGCCAAGCCAGAGAGAAGTAAAAGCAGGCACTGTCCCCAAAGCGTCCTGTCAGGTGCAGCTGGGACAGCCCTGCGCCGTGCAGCCCTTGGGGCGGTAGCAGCAGGACTCGGCTCACGTGATGAACCTGGCCCCGCCGGGGTGAGCCATTCCCCTCCTCCACCCACCTGTCCCAAGCAAGAGACCTTGGGCCTCAGAAAATGGTTTGGCGGGATGCATGTTGGACAAGCCTGCATTACAGTGATAGAAAACAAGGTAGAAAAGAGGCTGCCTGAGAGAGAGGAATTTTCCCTATGCCTGAAGAAGGGCGACTGCATCCAAAAGCTTGCTAAGAGCTTTTCTCCAACTACTCAGTTGGTCTAATACAAGAGATCACATCTACTCAAAAACCCTTGCCTGCCTATGTCCTTAGCCCAGGGGTGGGCAAAATGTGGCCTGTGGGCTAGAGGTGGCCCACCAGGCCATTCTATCCAGCCTTCGGGGCCCCTAAAAAATTTAGAAAATTAATACTTATCTGCTCCTGGCTGCTTGTCACGTGGCCCTCGATGGCTTGCCAAAACTCAGTAAGCGGCCCTCCGCCTGAAATAATTGTCCACCCCTGCCTTAGCCCAATACGGCTACAACTGAAAACCCAGTAACAGTTTGGAGGTAATGCACATGTAGGCAACCAAATAGTTTTGAAATGCCGATTTAACTTAAGTTCTAGTCTTTTTAAATACGCTGTAAAATGATTACAGCATGAAATAATTCTTTAGACTTCTAAATACAAAGCTTTGTATCTTCAAATTGCTGCTCACACAATTCAAACAGGCCTATAATCCTATAATAAACCTCTAGTGTGATGGTGGTAAGGCGATAAATAGAGATATTGGGAATAAATAACTTGCCCAAGGTCACGCAATAAGTGGCTGGACACAATGAAGGGTTATAGAGCCAAGACTAGAACTTCTTGGAGTGCCTGACTGGGTGCCACACACAATTCAGTAGAACATAGCGTCTCCCTTTTACTTGCTTTTACTTTCAGCTTTGTATGCGTTAAGAGCTTACTTTGCCAAAAAAAAAAAAAAAAAAAAGGTAGAAGTAACTTTGATTTTGCTATAAAGTAGAAAAAAGTGTAACCTCAGTGACCCTATGTCACTTCAACTTCCACTCTCAAGAGTGTTGGATGAGTTTTCTGTCTTTTAGAACCAGTCAGCTGGACTGAGTAATATCTGAAAGGATCATTATTCCTTTCTTCCAGAAACTGTTCTGCCTTCATAGTGCTGTTAGCTGACAGTGCTGCAGGTCTAAACTTGGGTCTCCTATTGAATGGTCACCAGACTGGTGGGCTGACCCACGTATTTCCTTTATATGGCTTTATGAGGTCCTCAAAAGTAAGGAAATTAGTCTTGTAACTCTCCTTTGTAATGCAAGTCTTCTTCAGATCGCTGTCCAGAGAGTGTCAGTTGACTGTCAGTGTATGCTGAAATGGAAAAGCCCTTGTTTCTGGCAGAAAGAGGACTTTCTTGTTCAGGGTAGGCAGGGGCTGGATACATGTTTGAATGCAACAACTTTAGTGGTTTCTTGCAAAGTCCATCAGAGTTGTAGTAGGCTGTAATACATCGTAACTAATCTGTTTGTCTTGAATTCCTGTAATGTGTATGAGGCAACATTTTGACTGGTTTGGATGATCTAATGAGAGGAATGACCTAATTGTGGTATTTAGATGAAACTCTGCCATCTAGGAGAGGTATGATGGTATACTTTTGTAGCTGTTGAAGTGATAAGTGTTCTGGGATTCACTTTTGAAATCTGAGTTTCAGTCACTTAGAATAAAAATTATACTAAGGTTGGATAAGGTTACTGAAAACATTTCTGTTCTTGCTTCTGGCAACCTAATTAAAATGTATTTTTGGTACCGAAAGCCACTCTTTAAAGAAATAATTGCTGTTCTGCAGGTGGTGTCGTCCCCCCACCCCCCTGCTTTACCTAGTGTCATGGAGAAAATACTGTCCCAGTATTTAATTTTAACTCTTTTAAAATGAAGGTCTCCTTAAATTTGTGACAGTACAAAGAATTTGGCTTGGTGGAAACTTGTCGGCAAGATTTTCTCCAATCTATATGAGTTGTGCCTGTTATACTGTCTTTTTAGTTCAAGTGCGCGGCTTAGTGACTGCATGCCAATTTTGCATTTCTTATTTATTTCTCTATTACTGAAGACTTATTTTTTAAGGAAAAAGAGATACTGTTATGTAGCCTCATGTGCTCTTGGTTTTTATATTTTTTTCCCCTTCCACTTGAAGAATCTGGTTTGGAATTATTTTATAGTAGAATAAATCCTGCTGTGTTAGGTCTGCCCTATTATCAACTATATAAAGCTAATTTCTTTGCCTAAGGTGAACATTTGGCACCTTTTTTTTTTGATCCCCAGAGGAGAGTTAACAAAACTTTTATTCAAAGCTGTTTTATGTTAGAGATGTAGACTGCTGTCTTCCCTTTTATGACCTTGGCAAAACCTTGAAGGACGGGCATCGTGACATCACAGGAAACCAAAATGCAAAGAGCAGCCCTCCTAGCTCAGATTTCTGTCTGCTGTGATGTTGTCGTCACAGTCTCCAAAGATCCTGTTAACATCCTGTAGAAAAAGCTCTGACCTGATTCTCTTTCTTCAGAACACTGCAGAAAAGGTTCCTTTACATGTCCTAAAGAATCAGGAAAGGCCATGCTGTTCGCTTTTGCATAGCATTTTAATCTCAAGTGGGCCCAGCTATGGCTTGCTTCAGCCGGGGTTGAGTCTGTTCAGTTTCTGTGTCGGTTGGCCTAAGTGTCCTCCGGCTCCGTCTGGCACCTCACTCTTTTTTTAAGTCAGGCCAGGTCAGGGCTAAGGTGCTTGATATAGCCGTCATTGTTTAGGAATAAGACTTTTCTGAATGTCTGCATTTGGAAAATCCTTGTATAAGGTAAGTTATGGCAGCATAAAGTGCTTTTGCTGGTATAGCTGATCTTGTTCAAGCAGCCAGAATAGCAGAAGTGCTATATTTACTTGAATATAAGATGAACCCCCGAGTAATCAGATTCTATATATGGAAAATTTATAACTTTCTTATAATATCCCAGATCTAGAATCCAATTAGTGGAGGTTTACCTTGAATTTGTCCCCTTTCCACTGCTTACAGCAGGGAAAGTAAGTCTGGAGGTAAAGTACCCCTTTGCCCTCTGCCCATCGTCTTCCCTCTATAGCCCCTTCCCTCTCCACCATCCCCCCTTTACTGTCAGACCCTGCTCTCCCTAAGCACATGGAAGTGAGAGGCAAATTTGAAATTTGAAGTAAAACACATAAATAAACACATAGACTTAGTTCATCCAGAAGGGATGCCTTTTTACCTTTTTTTAAAAAAAAACTGCTGCACATTTTAGCACAGGTACTCCATAAGCACACTTTTAAGCAGCACTTTTGTACATGCTTATACTGTATCTTTTTAATATTCCTAGGGTTTACTAGCATAGCCATTCTGACAAGTCTTTTCTAGTGTAAATTTGACCTCAGACTGTTTTCTCCTGTTCTAGGCTGCTTCCGTGTCAGCAGGAGCAGTAGGGAGAGCACAGAAAAAGCAATTTTCTTGTGCTCAGGTCCCTCAGCAGATGCCACAGTGCTCCCAGTGGAGAGCAATTACATGAGAAAAACTTGCTTAACCTCTGCATGCCAGCGCCGGGTGTGCTCCCTGCAGACAGCATCTTCAAAAATTTAGCTGCTCAATTCTAGTAAATCTCTACTGAGCATGTGTCAACTGAGAGTTTTATGTAGCCTTGTCAAATGGCCTCCATCAGGCAGATTTTCACAAGGGTGGCAAAAGGCACATCTCACCTCTGACCAAAACTAAGAAAACTAAAGCAGCCCCTCTTTGCAAACTGTCAAGCCCCTGCTTCAGAAGTATGGAGGTAGTAGAGGTTGTTGTCAACAAGAAGGTGGAAAAAAACTTGAACAAAACGGGTTTTTTGTGATTACTTAATTTCATACTCCACCACAACTGAACTGTTAGCGAAAACTACCTCCTTTCCCAAAATATTCAAGAAGAGGCAGATACATGGCAAAGAAAGCTCCAGCTGAAATAGTTTGGCAAAGTTTTGTAAGGATCTGGCAAAATGGTCTTAGAAGTATTGGGCAACCTTAACAGCAGGTGGCACTTTCAGATCTGTCTTGATAATCCCATGCTTTTCCTCCTGAACTGATGAATGTTGTAACTGGTAAGATCAAAGTTGATCTTAAAGTAGGGCTAGAATTTCCTGGTCTTCTGTTGCTTGTCCTGATTGTAGTACTTTACAAAGCGTTAGTCATGCCGTTTTCATTTTGCTGGCTTCCTCTGCCATTTATTTTTACTTGAGGCAGGTGGCGATCTTAATGAAATGCTGCTTATCTAGCCATTTTGTGTTGAGCCCAAATGTCCATAAGTAGCTCATGAAAGGTAATGGATTGATTTACAGCTATTTAGCTGTGGTGAATAGTCTGCTGCTTTCAGTTGTAAATGTTTAATTATGAGCTACAGAAGGCTGTATGATGATGTTTCCTCTCTAGTTCTGGAGTTCAGTATTATCTGGCTATCAGCATGATGGATGACAAATATTCTACAAAATCTCAGTTCATCAAAAAGTTGATAGTACATAACACCGGGATGCCACTCCACATTATCATAAAAGATGTGATTAAGTGTACATCAAGCTACTTTCAAAAAATAGTCTTTGTTTAAAGCTTATCACAGTAAACTGCTTAAGATTCTGGATATGCTATTCAGGAGACTTATGGCTTGAAAGCAGCAATCCCTCTCATACATTTTTTTCCCCCCCCCTCTTTAGGTGTTCTGTTGGAATAGACGTTGCACATTTATGGCGATTCTGAGTGTTAGGGCAGACTTCTGCCAGGCCCAGCACAGCACCCTGGCTGACAAGTGAGCTGGGCGTGGGGGGGCTCTACAGTGCCATAATTACCTTGCCTTGAAGACTCCGGACGCAGCAGTCACCCTCAAATATATGGGATATCTCCTGCATATTGGAAGCATATTCCTTTTACTGACTCTAGCAAAACTAAACATCAAGAAGAAAAAGTGGAGAGAAGATCTGCCCTTACTTTGTTTGCCTCACCAGTGCCTAAATGTAGTACAGGCTGCCTAGTCTTGCATGTAGTCGGAGTTTTTGGAGTCTGAAGGATACCACCCGCAGTAATTGAGGCCTAAGTTGAATTCAAGTGGATTCAAAAGCAAACCTGCTTTTCCTAAAGTGAAATTTTTTAAGAGCAAAAAGTCAAAAGCAAGCTTTCATCTTTTTTTAATGTTTTCTGCTGTGAAACCTTTCAAAGGTTATTGATTTTTTTTTTTTAATTTTTTTTTTTGTGTGCCCCTCACGGGGGGAAAAAAAAAATTGTTTGCCATTATGAACCGTCCAGCTCCAGTGGAGATCACCTATGAGAATATGCGTTTTTTGATCACTCACAACCCAACCAATGCTACCCTCAACAAGTTCACAGAGGTAAGGTGACCACATAATGTGGCATGTTTTTCCATTTCTTGCATTTTGAAATTCCCATAACGGCACCAGAATCGTCTTGCGGGTCCACCATCAGTGAGATCAGATACCTGCTACACTTAAAAAGCTTCAAGCAGCAGGTATTTTGTTTCATTTAAACTGTTTAAAGTTCTCTTGATCAGAAGCAGGGAAGTCTGGTGATTTCCTTTCTTAAGAGTCTTGCTTTCTTTCATTAAGAGAAGTTCAGAGCTTCCTTCTGGAGCTTAGATGTGTCCTTCAGTCTTCCCTTTCACAACTTCAAAGGTATTAAATATGTTGTCTCTACTGCTGTTCCAAAGAGAGAAACTAATCCCTGTTTTCTCATGAACTACTTCAGAGCTGTACCCACAAAGACCCATGGGTTCATCTTCTGGTTGTTAAATCAATAGTAAACAAGATCACAAGTGTTTATGATCCTGTTTGATCCTGGGACTAGGATTCCATGCAGGAATAGCATTAGTATCTAACTTCTAAAACAGCAGTTTTCCCAAATTCTGAATTGGTCCCAGATTAATTGGATATTTCAGGTATGAGAATAAAGTTTAAAATGTCATTACTATCTCTTTAGATTTGAGATGAATGGAGGCACTTGCTCTGGGCGCTGGGTAATGTCTAAAATATTGTCACTGATACCATAAGGGCTTAAATACTTCTTAAGAAATGGAATCTTAACTTTTGTTGAAACAGATGGGATTACCGGAGAGGGGCTGGAATGGTGTATTGCTGCATTCCAGCTTGCATAAGTCTCTTAAGGAATCTGTAACACGCACATGTATGCGTCTGTGTGGCCCTTATAGTCCGTTGAATATAAGATGCTGAATTTAAGATGCATCCAAATTTTCTGACTTTCAATTTGAGGAAACAATAAAACATCAAATATAGATACCTCTATGGCAGTGGTTCCCAACCTTTTTTTTT